GTCTATAATTTCTGTTGACTGACTCATGAATTGTTTTTCTATGGTATTATTTCTATCAAAAATAACTCGTGGAGTTTATATTTCTGATATTACAAATTTAGAAATAAACCTTTCTGAGGTTAAATAAATTAAGGGATTTGAACAATTGAAGGAAATGTGCGTAGTGATTCTTACAGTTGTATTAAATGGAATGGATATCATTTAAAATATTTACAATATTTGATTTAAGGTTCATAGGACATGAGTTCTTCCTTGTCATCTTTTGACATTTTCTCGACAGCATATCTAAGACCTTCTCTACTGAAATGTGAATAATTTTCCTTAATAAAATCAGTTACCAAATCCAAATCAGCTAAACTCAATTCTCTCAGCACCCATCCAGTTCCAAGTTGTGCAAATCTTTCGCTATTCTTCACTGTTGTACTACAAATATCAATAATCAAGTCGTTATATTCTCCATGCTTGGCAATCTTTACAAAACTAACACAAGCACTTCGTTGTTTCCACAAATTATCGGAATCTTTCCACTTTTGAACAACTTGTGCCAAACTTGAATCTCTTTTAATGAGCTCACAAATTACAGTTGAGCTAATAGTATCACAAGTTGCCCAATCATAAACATGTTCCTTATCAAATAAATTCTCCTCAATTCCATTCACAACATATAATCCATTAACTCCAATTTCATCATCTTCAGTTGATTTCTTCTTCTTTTTTGGTACAAAGTTTTTAACATTTGATGCCAATATCTAATTCATTATTATATATTCCAAATTAAATACTCAGTTATCAAATAAAAACCAACCTTGATTCCAATAGATTTCTCTTCAAAATATTTACTTGCTATTAATTCATAACTAACATCCACCTGATCCTTCAATTCTGGTATATTTGTTTGTAAATTACTTTTCAGAGTATCTTTCCAACATTTTTCAACAATCGGAGCCTTCAATCCATGAAATTTAATAACATTCTTCATGTAGCCTTCTTGGTGTTTAGCAGAGTCCTTGTTGGCTACTTTTAATAGTGTTGTTCGGACGAGTTTTGTAAAATTCATACGTTTGACTTCCATCTGTTGTGAGAGAGCTATTGGGATGCGTTGATTTTTTTTATGTTTTGATTTTCAAATATTTGGCGCCAATTTATTGTACTTAGTTTGAAACAGTTCGAATTTTTACAAGAAGTCCAATCAATTCAAAGATATAATTTCACTAACTTCACGCATGATATGACTACAGAAAAATCAATTCATTGGTTTTTTCTTTTTCTCTATTAAAAGCTAAATTACAATTTACATGAACAATAGTAAAACTCCAACAATAAGAATAAACTGAAACTATGGCCTCTATTGGGGGTAGATTTGGTTGGATTGATTGTAAAAAGGTTTAGTGTATATAAAAACAATTTATTAAATTATTTAAAGATTAAAAAAGATTAAAAAAATTAAACTTTCTTGGGAACAGTGTTGGAAAAATGTTTTTTGATAATGATACTCTATTTGTCATTTTCCATTACATGACTCCGTGGAATTTATTATTTACAACCAGTAGAGTTTCTAAACAATGGAAATATGTTTCCTCACTCATTCCGATCCATTTAAAATTTAATCAATTTAATACTTTTCATCAAATCATGATGACGAAATTTATTACTACTCATCATCTAATTGATGATGATCATCAGATGAATGAAAATAATTGTTTTAAAATTGTGGAATTAAATTTAATGAACATGTATATTAAAAAGGAAAATATTCATTTATTATATGAACACATTAATGTATTGAAATGTTCATTAACGAGTTTGAGTTTACCAAGACTTTTACCGAGAGATGTTTTGGAGAAAATTTCAGAAATTGAAATGGAACACTTGACACAATTAATGATTGAT